GGTGACGCAACAATATGTTATAATATGTTTAGCACACTACACCTCAACATCTGGTATATCCAACGTCCACTAGACCTTTCAATCAACAACTGCACCGCCCTCTGTGCAGAAATAAAACTAACGTCTTGCAGGATTTGATGACGTTATTGCAGAAAAGTTCTCCAGTATTTCTTCAGAATTCTTTTAGTACTCTAGTGCTGTAGTCTTGTTGGTAGGTTTGTCTTTTCCTGTAAGTTGTATTAAATTTAGGTTAAAGTATTACCTATTAAATGCTGATTAATTGAAGAATAACTTTGTACAAAAAATTCCATAAATGGCTTCTGCAAAGCGATATTTTATCAATTCGTTGTCTGACTATATTACCGGAGAGTCTGTGCGAATTCAGCATCAGCAATTGAAACAGCATTGTGTGGATGTTGTAAAACACATTTTTGCTAAACAAGGCAATAGTTTCCGGGATTGTGATGGTGGTTTGTACGTTGGTGTAGCAGGTGTCTCATACATGTGCTATTACCTCTCACAGCTTCAAAGCTTTAGTGAGGAGAAAAAAATGTTTTTGAAAAATGCAGAGGAATATTTAAGTACTGCATTAGCCTATGCGGAGCAGCCTAAAATTCAAAGTGATAAGTCAATGCAATTTGGATTTCTTCTAGGAAATGGAGGCGTATATACAGTTGCAGCTTTACTCTTCGATGCTTTGGGAAAGAAAGATCATCGTGACAAATTTATACAACAATACATAACTCTTGCAGATGTAGGAATTCCAGTCAACTTTTTACGTTGTGGCTCGGATGAATTATTTGTTGGAAGAGCTGGTTATCTTTGCGGAGCTTTACTGTTGAACAAAAAATTTAAAACACAGGTAAGTCAGGAGTTAATTAACTTCCAATTTTGAAAGTCACTAAGTGTGGCAGGAAAGTTGCCACCAATATTACCCTTTTGATCAAAGGCTATAAATTTAAAGCTATTTTGACACTACTTTCTTTGTGGTTAAGCTTTATTAATACTACTACAGCAACTGTATAATAAATATATATATTTAGAAACATACAAACATAAACTACAAGGTGGCAAAATACATGCTATTTAATTAATCAAGGAAAACACATCATTCATCAAAAGACAAAACAACAATCTAAACAAATTATCTTCAGTTAAGACAGCTTTATTTTTCTAAATGTGTAGTTACTTTGTTTTCCTTTATTATTATATACATAGAGCATGGAAATTTGGCTGTTTAGAGTACTGAAGTGATAAGGAAAAATCAATTTGTGTGTAATCATCACTGAACATTAGTTTTATGTTCTAATAAATGATATAATGCTGGAATTTATATTATTTGAAAAAAATAATAATAATGTACTTTCTTTTTATAAACTTTCTAGTAGGTATTAAAAATAACTAAATTTAGACGTCATTTACTTTAAAGAATTTGAATCAGATGTTCAAGAATGTTATTGGTAAAGATAAACTGTCTGTACTTGTATGTTTCAGATTTCTGTTACTAGATTCTGAATATATTTTGTAGTTTTTAAAAAATAAAGAGTGGACTGAAGTATTGAAAGTATTGAAATATTCTTTATTATTTACTTGACATTTCACCTTTTAGCCTCTATTGAGAGATTATGCTTATAGATCAAGACCACCTTTGTAATAAAGTCTTAAACTGACACACATTTAAAGAAAAAAGGACACATGTATATGACCAGAGTGTTCTCACATGATCCAAATAAAGTTATTATTACATAGGTACATGGCCAAATACTCTTTTAAATGTAAACTAAAATATGTTGATTTATTATAAAAATAAGATCACTTTAAGGTTCATTATGTAAAATAGATAATGTAGCGCTAGGAGATAAAAGTTTGTAATGTTTATGTGTATATCTAAATATACACACATCTCAATCAAATTATTACAGAGATATTAGATATGCTAGGGTCAATTGAAGAGCTGTATGTTTAGCCATTAAAATGGTCAGCCACTAAAGGGCTGATGTTTGGTGGCTTGTATCTGGTGAAAAATGTTTTTTTTTTGTATTTACTCTACAGAAAATATTTTGCTTCAATAATATGCAGATGTTGAAGGATTTTCTGGGGTGTTTTTCAGACAAGTGTTTGGCTTCTATTTCCAGAATGAACAGTAATTATATACTCTATGAATCTATCATATACTTAATGCTTGTTTCACTTAAATTTGGTATCTCTACGTAATGTGAACTCAATTTTTTGTTAACAGCATAAGTATTTAAAATCTAAAAAATTGGTCTCATCCTCCTCCCAAAAAATCTTTTTTTTTTTCTTTTCTAGCTTATACAGGGATAGAAAAAAATTACATTCCCTCATGAAAAGATGCATTTCCTCATTAATTGTCTTTTATTTAATCCATGCACAAACTTTTGCTGGTCATAACTAAAGGAATGTGGATGGACCATGCATTCCCGATTAGGAAAGCCAACTAAAAAGAAGAAATTCCTCAAGCAGAGTTAAATGCCTTGGAATGTAATATTTTAATTCCTTTTTATGTTATAGCTTTTTATATTGAGTTTTGGAAAGAAGTTTACAGGAGTAATCTCAGACCTACCTTTTAGGCTTTGAATTAAAATGGTTTACTTGAGTTTCTGAATAAATATATACCAAGATAAGTATTTACAGTAAATAAATGAATATCTGGTTGCATTTTGCTACCTAATTCTATTGTTTTGTTACTAGTTAATTTATGCAGTGGCATTTTACTAACACCTTAAATACAGCATGTGTGAATGGACAATTTTTTTAAAATTTTAGTATGAATGTTCTAACGTTTTTTTTTTCAAATAGTTGGAAGTTATTGCTAATAGAGTATTCATGATTAGTGTGCAACAATCCATAGTTTAGTACCACTTTACTGAGTCACCTGGGAGGCTCCCATTCATGGTGTATTGGTAGGGTGGATAAAATTTCCATCTATAATTTTTTTTATATAGATCAAAGGCAAGATTAAATGATTGTACTAAAATTTTATAATTTATCCATCTACTCCAAAAATGAATATTAAATATACACACATTAGATAGATAAGCTAGGTATTGCTTTATCACAGGCCTTGACACATCTTGGGTGCCAGGATGACTAAAAAGTTTATAGTGATCTCTATATTTTCTCATATTTTATTCATGCATAGGACTGTGCTAAATATAATTCGAATCTAGAACAATTCTGGACCCTTGGAAGACCGGAATTATATTTACATTCTTTGAGTCCTAAATCAAACTTTGTTTCTACGATTTTAATGGTGGATTCAGCGTTAGCATGCACTCATTGCTGTGAAAGTAAATAAATATACACTGGTGCCTCGCTGGTCTGGGAAAAGCAAAAAATCACAGATAAGAGAAACAGCGGATAAGCGAAGCACTAGTGTATCTCACTAGTTAGTCCATTGTTTAATCTAAATAGAAATTTTCAATATATTCAATTTCCTTGTTTTAAATTATAATCATTTTACTGTTGTTTAATCACATTATCATGAAAAATTATAATAGTCATCATAATAATAATATAAGTCAAGTGTTGGTCGGTCATGCTAAAATTCTCCTAATTTTGGGAGTTACACGAGTCCAATTCCAATTTTTTCTTCTATAATACTTCTTCCTTTGATTACCTGTTCCCGTTTTAGTTAAATTTACTTGCTGAAATAGGCATAAAAAGCTCCTCAATTTTGGCACTTTTTTCTGCTATAGACACGGAAGTGCATTCACACCCTATCAACGGCTGGGAAAAATAAGTAAAAAATTAGTGCATGTCTATGCTTTGGAAATATTACGAAAAAGCCTTTGTTAAAACAGACTGAAGATACCAATTATCTGTATTATATGCATAACTAGATGACAAACTGAACAAGGATGTCTATCGTGCAACATAGAACAAGTTGAGTGAAATTTTACGAAATTTTTATGTGTATTTTGTGTTTTTTTATACTATGTTTTTAATCATTAATCAAATAAGGTTAACCAAGCTACATATATTTTGTACTCCTGTCTTAACAGCTAAAGATAAGAGGCAAGGCTGGGCTTGAACCTGGGACATATGATTTGAACGCATGCCAGATCCTGCACGTGAAAACCCCAGATATGATGCAACACCTGAACTTTTGCAACCCAAATTAATTTCTGAATGACAGTTTTCCAAAAAATGTCAATTATTGTCTAGAATTGTATATTTATTTCGAGAAAAATTTGGAAACAAAACCCTTGGATAATCAAGATCGCGGATAACGTAGATGAGGATAATCGAGGCACTAGTGTAGCCCCCATGTCCCAGAAAAACAGTACTGAAGATAGGTTAGGGACACCAGGCTCCTAAATTTTTTGGCTGGCCCTTAGACCTGAAAATATTTGTCGATGCTTGTTTTATCAGAATTCTTGCTATGGACCAAAATACGCTGGAGCAAGTACCATAGCTAGATATATCTTGATTTAAATAAAGTATATATGAAACAGAAGAAGTAATAAATTAAATTTTGAGAAATACATTGACATTTATGTTTCTTTTCTCAATGTTTTCTTTTTTTGTAATGTATCCTACTTCTTTTACTACATACTGTATTTTTTTTTTTTTAGCAAGTCAAATGCATTTTCAGGAATAGTGTTACAGACAGTTTAATGCACTTCCAAGTACATGAATAACTTAACCAGATAGAATATTGGGTAAAACAAAACCAGTTTTTTTAACCTGTCCAATTTCCCTTACATGACTAGTAATGAATGGAAGAAAGGAGTGAAAAGGCAAGGTAAGGGATTAACATATGAATGTTACAACATTTTTAGCTTAGTTAAACAAATTTCAAACACTGTAGCAATTTAATTAGTTTGCAGGCCTTTATGACAGTATGTTGTGTAGTGCAACACAAAGTTGTACACATCTTTTAAATGTAGTGTTATTGTTCTAGAATAACTTTTTTTTAAAATAGCTTGGTAGTGATTGTAAGGTAATCAGGATTCAAGGTGATTGGAACAGTGTTGGATACACATAACTGTTCAGTTTAAGAGTTATTATTTAATTTATTTAGTGATTTAGTTTTCATAACAAGAGTGTTAAAAGTTAATTATTTTAAAAGCAGTAGTTATGATAAGTTTCATTATGTAACTCTGTACGAGTCATACAATGTGTATATAGTTTAACTGTTGTACTAGGCTTTTGTAATATTGTTGATGTCATTTTACTAGAAGATTCTAAGTTTTTCTCATTTTGTGTAATGTTGTTACTAGAGGACTAAATATTTCTATATTTTTCTGTTGTATGTTATAAATACATGCAGATACAGAAATAATTTAGTGAAAGTAAAAGTGAGTTTAGACTGCATGGTTGTCAGTTTAGTTGATTGGGTGATTCCTAAAGTGAGTTTCACTGCTTGTATTGTAACAACAGAGTAGAGGAGGATAATTTGTCTTGTCAAAAGGTGTTCTAAAATCATTGAATCCCCTTGTGTGGACTTTGAAAAGGAGATAATTATTTAGAGCTCTGGATAAAACTATTGTAAACAGTAGTTATAATGGTGATTTTAAAGTGAGTATCACAGCCTTGTATTGTAACAGCAGAGTAGAGGAGAATAATTTTTTTTGTCAGAGGGTGTTTTAAAGTAAATGAACCTGACTGTGTAGACTTTGGCAAGAAAGAGAATTATTTAAAGCTCTGGATACAACTGTGATAACCAATATACCAATTTTTTTATACACATTTTATTTGTTTGGAATATATATTATTTTAAAAGAAGTGGATTGTGTGCTGTTTGTTTATTGTTGAAATTTATTGCCAGCAAATTACAGACACCTACTGTAAAGAATCCAGTCCTATAAAACCTGACATTTGGCAAGCCAGCCAGGA